TCTTCATGATTTTCTCTGGGTTGGGCCAGTTCTGTGACCTGGTGGCTAAGGCAGCCAGATCCCAAATGGCTGACTCCAGAGTTTGAGTCTCGGACCTGGCAGCTTAAGAAAAACACTGGGTGTGTGTAAGTGCAAACTCCTACTCCTGGCAGGATGGAGCAATGGAAGGGGAGGGATTGAGGTATACCCGTACCCATGTGTATCCTTTCTCCCTCTTTCTCTCTATGTCTCGGTCTTGGAAGTGCATGCACCTTCTGGCAAAAAAATTTTTAAAAATAGGTTTCTCTTTTCTTTCTTTTATTAACAATTTTTAATTTTTATGTCCTTTAGAACCACTGCTAAATGTCTAAGTTAGTACTAGTTTTTATTTATCCTGTTTGGGAACTGGTATATTTCTTCACTGTGTACGTTCATGTCTTTACCCCATTCTGGAAAATTCTCAGTTATAATCTCCTCAAATATTTGTGCTCTCTTTTTCTCTATTTTTTGATTCAAGTCTACTAACTGGGAGGTTGGGTCCCATTCACTCTGTCCTCCATATCTGAACCCTTTTTATTTTGTTTTTCCATCCCCTAACTTCTCTCTCTCTGCACGTGTATCTTGACGTCCAAACTCTTCAGCTCACTAACGGTGTCTAAGTGTGTCTGATTGACTAAGGGTTTTAAAAACCTCGGGCACTGGGACCGGAAGACAGTGTGATAGTTATGTCGCTGGACTCCTACAGGGCCAACCATGGTTTGAGTCCTGATTCTGGTGGCTTGAAACTCATACCAGGCGTGTGTGCGTGCGTGCCCAAAATCCCGAGAGGAGAACGGAGGAGAAAGGATTGCAGCGTGGCCATCCCACCTGGGGATTTCTCAGTTTCTGTCTCTGAATCTCTCTGGCCAGCACATGTACCCTATAGCAAAAATCTTTCTAAACACCCCCCAAAAAACCAAGCAAAACCCCAGAACCCTAGGTTCATGGTATACGTGTGATCTGTTCACACACAGCCCCCTTGGCTTGCTCCTACATGTACTCATTCACCAACGTTATCAACGACTGCAGGGCTGGGATAGCAGTGGCCACACCCATCTCCCTGTGTGTTCCCTCCCATCTGTCCCAGCGCTTCCCACCACCCAAAGCCACCACTCCCCGAGCCAGGCGCTGGTTGTCTTCACTTTAAAAGAGGCGATTTAACTCGTGCTTTAGAAAAACACCTATTCCTAAAAAAGCACATGGTTTAGCTTTTTTTTTTTTTTTTTGACTTCATGAAACTTCGTGACTTTGTGAAAATGGTGAGAACAGACTTTTGGGACTTAACATTTTTCATTTGTGCTAACATCGAGATTCATCCGATTGCTGTGCGGCTGTCCTGTGTGCGTCACCTGCTGTGCTACCCCACGGCGGGCTGCACCTGGTTTGTTTCCCCACTCTTCTGTCAGGGAGCTTCCTGACACTGTCCCCGGGCTTCTGCTGTCATCAACCGCATGGCCACACACAGCATCACTCACTCCCCTGGCTTCTCTGGGTGAGTGCCAAGAAATGGGATTGCGAAGGCCGCGGTACTTGAGCGCTCAACTTTGCAAAGTGGCGCTGTGGCCCTTCGTAGGTGGTTGTAGCACCTGGGTCTGTTCGTTAACCTGCCCGCAGAGTTTCACATGCTCAGTGGCCGAATTGTTTTTACTGGTAAGAGTGTTACCGAGTTCTTTATCACCTTTTCTTTTATTTTTCTAAACTGCTTTCTCTTGTCGAGGTGGCCTCCATGTCTTCATTTACCCCTTTAATCCGCTCACACCCTGCACAGTTGGAGCGCTCACCCAGCTCTTGAGGTGCTGTCTGTCTGGTGCATCCATAAATGCTTCCGCACCCTGGAGTTGTCCGTTTCTTCCTGTGGTCCATACATTTTGGTGAAGCTTACCTTCAGCGTGACTTTTCCCCCCGAGGAATCATGTATACTCTGACTTAAAGTGTCTCTACAAAGTCTCCCTTCAATTGCTTTTATGGGAGCCACAGGGATTTTTTTGTTTTTTTACCCGAGAGGTTTTTTTTTTTTTTTCTTTCTTGCTAGAGGATGTATGTGCTTACCAGAGACAGAGCCAGAAAGAGAGAAATTCCCTGCAGGGTGGGTGGTAGTGGTGGGGGGAATGGCCACACCACAACTCCTTCTCCCCCATGCTCCTCTTTGGATTTTGGGCACACATGTACACATACCTGGCTTGGGTTTTAAGCCGTCGGGTCCAGGACTAGAACCATGATTGTCTACGCGGGAGTCCAGCAATGTAACCATTATGCCATCTCCTGGCCCCTGGCACCAGGATTTTGATGGTTTTAGGATGCACATTTATGTCATTGTCTCAGGTTGAGGTTTCTACATGGATATAGGCACGCGCTGGACCCCACATGTAGGTGGTCAGATTGGTGGGCGTAGTTGTAAATGATCCTCCTTCATCACCCCTGCTTCATTTCGCATGTTTGTAACATGTGTCTTCTTTGTTCTTTCTTTAGGTAGCTTGGCTAGGGACTTACTGGTCTTACTGATCTCGTCACAGAACCAGCTTATGAGTCCACGGGTCTTTCTCTATTGAGTTCCCATTTGCAGGGCCACCGATTCTGTCTCTCTCCCTCCAATCCGGGAGGGCCGCTGTTTGCCCTGTGACCTCACTTCTCTTACAGAGCTAAGAGGAGTTGCTGATTTTTAGTTCGTTCACAGTTTTACTTGTTGTTAGGAGGGCCTGGCTCTTCCAAGCTCTTTAGAAACTGGAACTCTGGTGCACTTTTGTTAGAGTATTACGTTGGTCGTCCTTTAAATCTTGTGAAATGGCTAATTCAGGCCTCCCACTGAGGGCAGACCCCTTGAGGTCGGGCCCATCCCGCTCATTTCTGTCTTCTGAACACATGGCTGTTGCACGGATTGGTAATGCATAATAACACTGTCAGCATTAGTACATAAGAACTGTGAGATGCAGACATAACCAATAAATGATCTGGCATATCGTCTGCTGTTCTCCAAATTAACTTTCCAATAAAACCCTATTTCTACATTCCATTCAGAGAACTCCCAGGATATAAAAGGGCAGAGACTTGTTGAAAGTCATGGAAGTTCGGCCAAGGATAGGAAGAGAAAGTGGGACTCCTGGGTTGCGGCTAGCTGAGGACTCTATCTTCTCTGTTCTCCAAGGAGTGGGAGACGTAAGAGGGCCCTCGCAGGGGTGATGTGCTGTGTATTTCAGAGGCGTTTGTACCCTCACTTTTTTGTTTCAGACTGAGCGAACCAGAGCTTGTGGACTTTCAGGAGTGGGGACACCTCAGAAGTTGGCGGGACGTGGTGTAAACAGTGCCGGCCCCCCTCCCAGGGCTGGGAGAGCTTCTCTCGCTCCATCTGAAAAGTTCTTGCTATGCCAGTCGTGGATGGAGATGACACCGATACAGAGCTTATCTTCGGGAGCGAGCTTGCGTGCACGTGCGTGTGACCGCCTGTGTCCTCGGGAGGGGACAGCCAGCAGTCTCCACACAGCTCCGCGTAGCCCTTGCAACGTTTAATGTCTGCCCCACCCCCACCAAGTGGTGAGCTCCTCGAATATAGGTGCACGTCTTCTTTCTTCCTCTTTGCGTCTTCATTGCCCACAGAGCAAGTGCCTGCAGGATCAGATCTCCCACGATGCAGCATGGGACGAGACGCCTGCAAACACTCCGGCTGCTTTTCTGGGTCGAATTCAGTCACTCAAGTTAGTCCGCGCCTCTGAAGATGCAGCATCCCCCTTAGTCCTGTCCTCACAGAAAGGGAGGGTACCAACGGCCTCCCCTCCACTCAGCTGGATCCTCAGCCCGTCTTGCACACGGACCTCATGTCGGCCTGTTCCGTCTCTGGGAGCTAGAACCAGTCTGAGGCTTCTTCGTGAAGTGTGTGGTAATGGCTCCCAGATGGCTCGGGGTGATGAAGGAGGCCGGCCTGGGTGAGACACCACCTGTTTGTCTTCTCAGCCTTGGGAGTGGGCCCGGCAGGGCTTTGCCCCAGTCCTGGCCTCTCTCTGCCCAGGGCTATGCAGTACTCAGAGCTGCTGCACTCTGAGTGTGTGAAAAGAGCAAAGGGAATATGAGTCAGAGGAATAATTCCTAGGGCCAACCTCACCTTAGAATTGTTTCATCAAATGGGGAGCTCTAGAAGGGGAGAGCAGCGCTTTGCCAAGGTCTCCACGCTGTCCCAACTTGCCTTTGACTTGAGGACTCAGCAAACATTGACATGGGGCTGACGAACCAAGAAGGGCTTGATTTACAGAGCTCTCCTATATCCCCAGCGTAAATCACTGGGGGACGTTCGGAAGTGCTAACAAAGAACACGAGCTTCCCTTCTCCTCTCTGCCTGGAGTCAATTTCCAATGGGCAGCCAACTCTCCTGAGAGGCAGGATGGAGGAAAATGCCTCTGTCCACACATCATGAATTGAGCCAGATGAAACACCTGGTCAGTCACTGTCTTCTTCCAGCCAGAGTCTCGAGTCCCCAGGAAGAATTTTATAATGGCTCCTGCTCTCTGCTGCCTGGCAACAGGGGGGCTTCTACTGGCCCAAGGGGTGATGTTGCCCAGTGGTTAGGGCAGAGATGACTCCAGTTTTCACACCCTGGTCCTATGGCGCAGACACCTGAGTAACTTTTTCAGACAGGCTGCCCTGCGAGTGCCCCCTGGAACATGGAGTGTCAGGTTTTCCCCGACAGAGGTGACTCGAGAATTTCTGCAGAAGAAGGTCTTCAGGGCATCATTACCGAGAAGAGAGGCTGGGGAACCTGTCTTAAAGCTGGGCTTCCATGAACCATGCAGTCAGCAGACTGGGGAGGAAATGTACGAGCATGATTAGTGAAAAACATACATCAATGAAAAAACATCCAGGTTCTGTTTGTTTGCTTTAGTCTTTTTTAAAAAATAATTGCTTAATTTATTATTATTTTTAATTTTGACCAGAAAGAGATAGAGACAGAGAGAGAGAGAAAGTGAGAAAGTAAGCTGCCAGGTCCAGGACTGGAACTGTGGTCGGTCATGTGGGAGTCCAGCACCCCAACCACCACGCCCCCGCCTGCCCCGAGTGTCCGGGTGATAGACATGAAACACCACTTCTCTTGCAGTCAGACAAATGCTCCACGCAGCGGCTTCGCTCGTGTGGTTCTTTCCTTCCTGGTTGCACTGTCATCTCTTCAGACCGAGAATTGAAGACATGCTGTATGATTGCTTACGCAGCGGAAATGTCCTTCTGCGGGGATTCTAGATGTGCAGAGGGGTACGTAACACGGCCCTGCCTATGGTCCCAAGGCCCCTTACAGCCCTGAAGGAATGCCCTGGCTGGGCACGAGGTCCAGCCTGAATGCAAACACTGCCTCCCAGTAGCTTCAGAGAGCAGGCCACTACTTCTCTCTGGTTCTAATTTCCTGCAAATAAAGGAGTCGGCCTCAATGACTAAGCTCTCTTGCTGCCAGCTCCATCTACTTGGAGCTGGGTGATGGGCCTCTTACCTTGGTTATTTTTATCTCTCCCATCTTTCACAGCAACCTCAGAGTCAGTTCTTCGTACCTCCCTGGCCTCACGTCTTCCAGTTGCAAAACAGGGATCCTCACACTGGCCTCCTTTCTTCTTGCAAGTTGGCGAGGAATCGCAATATGGGAGGTGAGAAGCTGGGGAACGGTTAAATCCAGACAGGAAGACCCGTGCAAACACAGGAAGGCGCTTCCTCTCTCGGGTGGAGGAAACAGAGAAGAGGAAGAGGAGAGCTTAAATGGGACCAGCAGGACAGCTCAAAGCACAGCCTGGGCAGGGTATTCCACCTGTCTGTCCAGCGGGATCCTGGTCACCCTCGCGTGGACAGTGTCACAGCCAGAATGTCTGTGGACACCGTGTGACAGCCACCCTTTTGAAAGATAATTCGAGCTTTGATCAACCTGGATTAAGCTCGAGGCCATCTTTGACAGTAAATCCAGTCACGACCTGTTAAATGCCCACGTTCAGAGGAAAATGAGATGAATTCGCAGGTGCCGACCCTCCTCCATGAGCTGTAGTCTAACCCTAACGGCACGAACTCACCATGTGACAGCAAATCGGGACCACTCTGGAGAGGCTGAGTCGGCTCTGACGCGGGCAGTGGGGCAGGAACTTCGGCCGCACTGGCGTGGGGTAGAGGCTGCGGGTTCACGTCCGGCAGGGCTGTTTATGTCCAGCAGGGAAATCACTTTCTTTGGTCAGGACAGGTTCACCCCAGGAAGTCAGCAGAGAGGAAGACAGTCCCATAGGGAGGGCCAACGACTGCCGAGAGGGAGGGGCAGGCAGGCTGGAAGAGCACAGCTACCGGGGAACAGCACTGTACAGAGCCTGAGCCAAGGAACTGCCACGCTGACTTCCTCTCCTTCAGCTGTCTCTGGGAATTCGCTTCCTCTGGGAGACCTGGGAAGGTATCCAGTCAGACGCAACCTCACCACCTCGGTGTGTGTATTAGAAATCACATGGCTACGCTAGCGGCTTTCTCTCCCCAAACCTGCCCTGCGTCCGGTGCCTGTCTCGGTGGTGTTTCCAGCAGGAAGACACTATGCATCCCACAGTCTTCGCGGGGTCGGGGAGGAACGGTGACTCTTCTACACACCCATCTCTGGGTCACAGACTGGCGAGACCTGCTGGCCAGAGGCGGGAGCATGCGCCTCGATTCTCCATGTGGTGCCCTCCCTCGCCTTCCTGATGTGCTCCTTCCACAGCTGCTCTTCCCTGGCCCAGCAGGGACAGTCTCACTCCGGCCCTCACCCCAGCTCCTACGGGGCTCCCCTTGTTTGGCGGCAGAGCACAGGGCTCTCTGTAAGTCAGTAGAAAATGTGCAACATGAAAAACGGTGCACAGATTCCAACATCGTTTTGTACCCAAAAAAGCTCGTTGGGATTTCACTCCATTTTTCCATGAAGTTTTTTGAAGTCATCTTGTAAAAGGGAGACCTGGGTTCTGGCAGATCACGTGGAAAGGAGGAGAGAGAGGCAAGGAGGCTGCAGACGAGGGACGCTGTCTTGTGCACGCAAAGCCAAGGCCACAGACTGCCCGATGGCCCTGCGTCCACGGGCGGCTCACAGAGAGGAATTCCAGAGGTGGTCCCTCAGAGCAAGGCGCCCGCCTTCGCAGAGGACGGCAGGCTCGTTCCCTATGTTCCAGCTTACTCGCGGGAGGAAAGAAGCCACTCTCAATCTTCAGTGTTCTGACTGGGCACTTTTTCAGTCTTTAATTTTTAATGCAAAGTATATTTTTTCCTTAGAGAATTAAATTCCTCTGTAGCTGCAAAAGGAGTCAGGATTCAGGTGAGCTTAATGATGTGCATGAGGGAGTCTGGCTACCAGTCCAGGCCAGAACCTGACAGTCTTGGCACTCTGCAACAGTGTAATGGGGGAAAAAACGATGGTACTTCCAGAGCAAATAAAGCTTAAGTTGTGCGTTTAGAAGCATACACACACACACACACACACTCGCACACACACACACACACACACACACACACACACACACACACACACACACACACACACACACACACACACACACACACACACACACACACACACACACACACACACACACACACACACACACACACACACACACACACACACACACACACACACACACACACACACACACACACACACACATATGCATATATACACATATCCCTAGCATAACATCAGGGAATAAGGTAGTAGCTAGTTCTTTTTTTTTTTTTTTTTTTTTTTTTTTTGAATTTTTTTTCGCTATAGGGCACATGCGCTCGCCAGACAGACAGAGAGAGACATAGAGACAGAAAGCGAGAAATCACCCCCCAGGGGGGATGGTCACGCCGCAATCCCTTCTCCTCCATTCTCCTCTCGGGATCATGGGCACGCACGCACACACGCCCGGCGTGAGTTTTAAGCCACCGGGTCCGGTACGCGAACCGTGGTCGACTACGTGGGAATCCAGCAACATAGCCATTACGCTAACTGCTGGTTCCCAATAGTAGCTAGTTCTTAAGGGACAGCAGTTTAGAAAGCAAAACACAGCCTTCAAATACTTAATGAGCAATTATTTGTTGTTTTGCACACTTGCTAGCTACGAGAAAATTTATGCTAACAGGCAGACACCCCTGGATGATTTCTCGAAACATCACCATGAATCCCTGCTTTTCAAAGCTCTGTGGCAAGGTTCCTATCAGGGTGGGTCCAAAGATTCTCTAGACAAATTTCATTTCATTTTCCATTATTGGGTTAGGGTTAGGGTTAGGGTTATCGGACACAACAGAAGTCACTAAAATATATTAACTGCTCGGGTCAGTGTCGAGCTCCAGCAGCTGGCTTCTGTGTCTACTGGCTTTGTGAAGCCTGCCTTGACTCGTGCACGGACACACAATTTGCATTTAGCTAACCTCTCTCTCCAAAGCTGGTCCTTGGGCTGTTGGTAATGAATGTGGCTTAGTTTCTACTGGAAAATCTGATTCAGCTTACATCACTCTGACTTGCAGCGCCTTTGCCAGGAATGCAGTCTGAGTGCAAGGCTGCCCTGTTTTCCCCAGGTCTGCAGAGGCCTGTTGCTTTTAATGGGTTATGTGTAGGACACAGGGTGTGACTCACGCCTCCACTTAGCAGGCATGAAAAAGTAGTGCAAACAGCTCAGCCCCGCCACGACGCTGGCTATGGGACTGTACCAAAGGTGCATCTCATTAGCTTGTGCGGTTCCACGGGGAAGTGGGCGTTGGTGCCTGTGAACACAGAGAATAGCAGGTTCAATGTCGTCGGCGAACACGACTGTTTTCAGCACAGGACGAGTGTGCTGGAGTACTTGCTGTCAGCTGAACATCACTGCTACCCCTGCTAATGTCACCCAGCTTGTAGAAGGGAAGTCGGGGCTGCATTTTGCAGAATCTCCTCTGTGAGTTTCCTGGAGGGACCATGTGAGGAGGGGCACACATGAAAGGAGTGGGGAAGACAGGGCAAGAGCGGAGCTCTCCAGGGCAGTTGTGGGCAGGTGCGAGGAGAGGCAGAAGGTTCCAGCGGCTATCGGATGGGCTGTATTTACTATTATTATTAAGTTTTTGTTGACAGAGCGATGCACATGCTCACCAGAGAGAGACAGAGGCAGAGAAATCTTCCTCCAATGCTGCGACCTTTTCCCCTCCACTTCTCCAGCCCATTAGGCTCTTGGGTTGGCACACACGTTTTCAAGCCACGGGGCTGAATTTCAGGCTGCGTTCCATCGTGTGGGACCTGGCTCCCCCTGTCGTGTTAACCACCGCGCTGTGGGACCAGCCTCACACAGACTCCTGAGAGTTTCTTAGAGGGTGCCAGAGGCTGAGACGGGTGGCGTGCGTCTGAGAGAGCTCCAGGATTTTTAGTTTCCCACATGAACTCCTGAGAAGCACACCGTCAGTGCTCCAGACAAGCCTTGTGGTTATAACCTCCGAACACATTTGTTTACAAGAGAAAAATAAATCAAAACTTTTTTTTTTTTTGGATTGCCTGAAATAGTTTCCCATGGTGATATCTGTTCATTTGTCTGTCATCAAAAGAGCACTTTGCCTGAAAGAAAGGACTGACCAGTGTGGAAAATGTTTAGTTTTCTGTGGAACTGTGGTTTATCATTTGTGTCTGTAAGTTACTGTTAGAAATGTCACTCGGATTTCTGATACATGTGAAATAGCAACTGAAATGAATTTTACCAACGTTTTCTGAATGAACTGATGAAAGTTTTTATTAAAAAAATCTCTTAACACTTGGAAGACAAAGCTTCTATTATTTTCCTGCTAAAACCCTGACATAATAAGTAATTATTAACAAATGATACAATATTAGGAAAACGAGGATGCATAATTCACCAATTGAAATAAACCACCAGTGAGCTACGTGTACTATAAAAATAAGATAGTCAAAGACTGATGGAATGGAAGGATAAAATACAATCAACTATAAAACAATCAATGAAATATATTACCTATATGTTATTGATGTAATTATAAACTACTAAGTATATATTATATTAAATGTGTAAATATAGAACATGTGTAAATGTATCCTATAGACTATGTAAAATAGAGTCGTCGAAAAGCCACGATGCATTTTTGCATAGGAAAACAAAGAAAACACGTGCTGACTTTTCTGACCACCAGTGTATGTGGAAGAGCTAAAATTACATGAGCTGTTCATTGTATTTATAGAAATGGTGCTATCACGCCACTGCATACCTCAGCCTGAAGAATGGCTTTGTCTAGGGCCGTTGTCAGGAAGTGTCGCGCGCAGGTGTCAGGCTCCAGAACAGCACTACTGTGAAGTGCGGGGCAGCCGGACTCTAGATCTGGTGCTCTGTGACCAGTACCTGGTGCCAAGCAGGCAGAGCAACAGGAAGTAAGGTCAGGCGAGTGGCCACACCAAGGCTGGAAATGGAATCCCGTGATATGCTTTCTGAGCACTTCCCTTCCCCTAATGCTGGGTTAGATGGAGGGGATTCGGTGGAGAACACAGCAAACATGGTAGCTGCTCATGAAGAACTCACGGTGTAGTTGGGGACACGGACAAGTAGCTGGCCAGTCGTAATGACACGTGACGTGCGCTACGACCGTGTCACAGGGATGCCTGCAGAAGGAAGGGCCCAACCGGGAATTAGGGGATGGGGTGGGGCTGGAGAAGCGGGGAGATTTTCTGAGAAAGTGACATTCAAGCAGAGCGGGAAGGTCAAGGCTGCTAGGCAGTCGGTCACGCTTGTGGAGCAGAGCCGCTGAGATTGGTGTTGGGGGCTGGCAAAGACCCTGAGGCCAGAGGAGCTCAGCAGCAAGGGGGCAGGACCCCGTGCTGGGCAGCCGTGGTGCTCAATGCCAAGGGTGCTGGGAGATGCGGAAGGGTCGAGAACTCTGTGACGTGGTCAGGTGTGTGGTTTCACATGCTCCCTCAGGCCGCGGGATCCAGAATGGGTTTCCAGGGAGGAAGACTGGTGAGCGAGAACGACTGAGAGGGAGGTGCCCCAAGCCTGGACATGGCCCTGGCAGTGGGCGTGGAGAGCCGTCCGGTCCATGCAAGGCAGAAGTCAGGGATGGCTCCTTTTCCGCATATGGGAGCTGGAGCGAGAGGGGTTACACAGCTCAGCAGAGGCTGTGTCGCTCGGAGCAGGGGGTCCCTGCAGGGATCCCTTATGATTCTAAGTTCTATAGCAGCGGTCCCCAACTTTTCCAGGACCAGGGACTGGCCTCGTGGAAGACAATCCCTCCATGGACGGGGTGGGAGTTGGTCTTGGGATGGCCCAAGGGTGTCACATGCACTCTGCACCCCATTTCCGCATTCACTATACAATGAGACGATCACACAATGGGGTTCGCTCCCCTGTGAGAACCTGCACTTTCTCTGATCTGACAGGAGGCAGAGCGGGGCAGCGGTGCCAGCAACGGGGGTGGCTGTGAACACCACCGGAGGCTCACTGGCTGTGCACCTCCCACCACACGCCCGGCAGGCTGGCACCAGAAGACCGACGGGGTTTGGGACCCCTGCTCTAGCACACACATCGGAAAGAGCCCAGAGGTTCCAGGTGAAAACTTACTGAGACGGAGGCCCATGCGTGCAGACTCACCATTTCACAGGAGCGATGGCGCCGTGGTTCCCCGGGTTCTCCTGGCCTCTGCTCTGCACTGCGCTGTTTTCCTAGTTGCTTAAACTAATTCCCTACGCTTCCCTCTGTGTGTGTAAAATGGTGTCATTTAAAGCAAAGGAAGGGGGAAGAAGGTGATTTCTCCACGTCATTCCGATTTGGTTTCAGTTAAAGTAAAACAGGACACTGTCCTCTCTGTGTGGAGCTGAAGACAGCTGGCCCTGGGCGCTGGAGCGGGCGGCGCGCATGGTTTGCCCCATGACTAAGACAGTGGAAAGACAGGGCTATAAAGCAGTCCTCCCGTCCTGCTCCCCAACGCCCACCCCTTCTGTTAGCTGAGCTCTGCTGAACACGTCCAGAGCGGTCGGGAACAAATGCCGACATGCCCGCGGCTCTGCTCCCCATGCATGCGCAGGTAGTTCTCAGTTCTCAGGCCTCGGAGTGCCAGACACCGAACACGTGCCTGGCCGAATGACCCGTGTCCTTGACCTTCACACGTCCTAACAGTCTCAGCTCAGCTCACCCAGGTCCTCTGCCCACACTGCTTGTCTTCCTGAAACCTTTACCCACCCGCCGACCAAAGCAGACGCTGAGGAGTTATTCCAGGTACTTCTTCCTTCCCTATTCCTCACGTCGTCAGCCACCTACTCCAGACGAGTACCTCTTAAATAGTTGTAGTCTTTTCTCACATCTCCACTTCTCACTGCGACTGTGTCAGGCTAGGCCAGTGTTTCCAAATTCCCGACAGACCTTAACTTCTATGATGCAGAAACAAGAAATTGAAGTGCCCAGCAGTTGCCAAACTTACATTATTCTTATTTTTCATAACACTATATGTTTTTAAATGATAAAGATTGGCCATAAGAAACAAGAAGTGATTTTTCTGCAATAAAATTATACTAAAATAATGAGAGGTTTTCTG